TTCTTCATGTGTTCAATACTTTTTCAATACCACATTATTACAAATAACTTCATTTCTGGACATTTATGGTTTGATTTCTTTGTATGTATGGATCACTTGGGTTGTTACCAACATCTGGTGAAGAGAGAGAAGTGAGAGAATCATAATCTAACATTTTTGACTGTAATATGTCGCATCTCACATTTGAAGCTTATTGTTTATACAGTATATTTTGTCTTATGTTAAGTCATGGCACTCAGCTCATATTTGTTTTCCCTCCAGGTTTCTATGGACGGCCCTGGTCCATGGATCAGAGGAAAGTTCTCTTCCAATGGTGAGCCTCAGATTCTCTGAAATGAGTCTTTGTAGAGTTTGTTTGCCTATAAGTGTCATTTATCATGTTTGGCAATATTAACCGAACACAAAGTGCAAACTTTAAAACTCCAAGGATCAGAAAGTACTTCAACTAAACTTTATTTACCAAAGAAWTATACAGTGTGCAGGCCGACCCAGTTGGGCGCCAATATGAAGTGGGGTATTCTTCATTAAAAACTTTTGCCATTAAGCAAAAAAAGGATAAAAGATTCAACTCCAAGGTGACAGCAAACCAATGCTTTATTGGACCTGACAGATCAGCTGAACTCTCTTCACTCCCCACAAGACCTACTGTATTTATGTGTGATTGTTACATCATCAAAACTTTGCTTTCTGACCTTTAAATTGCACCAATACTGGTACAAGACATTCCTGGGTCATGGCAACCAGAACGATTTACCTGTCTCTCAGCTACCATGAAGCGTAAACAAAACTTTGGTCGAATCGATCCAAAAAGTCACTTCTCATGTTTTACACAATGAGCAAACTGCTTGTAACTATTTCTTAGAATAAAACAGAATCAGAGTTATGTCTACTGTGTAATACATGCATGTTGGACTTTACTACAGTGGCAGCAAACAGTGCTTACAGGCAGGACTGAACAGGAACAGACATGAGGTGATCATGGAAAAACACACAATACACTGAGAGATGGGAGACAGATTTTAAAGAGGAACTAATGAGCGGAGAGCAAGAAACACCCAGAGGAGACAGGTGAGTGTGGGCGGGGCAGGAGCAGAGACCAGTAGAAATCAAAGAAAACCAGAAGAAAGAAACTGGGAGTAAATAATCAAGAAAACACAAAGGAGGAACAGAAAATACACAAAGAAGCATTGTTGTGTCTCTATAGTGTGTGGATAAATGAGGTGTTTATTTCATTGTAAATCTTGATATAGGCCAATTGTTTCGTTATTGTAATGTTTAAACACTGTGAATCGATTTTTAAGATTTTTTTCCCACCAAAACTTTTAGTAAGATTTAACCAGCTAGTATCCAAAACCACTACAACATAGAAATGGTGGAAAAATAAGTTAAAGAAGATTAAATTGTTTTTTACAATAATCAGGTATTAAAGAGAGCCTCAGTTCTCTAAGGGGAATTTTAAACAAGCCTTTAGACTATTTTGAGTCATAGACAAAAAAATAAATAAATAAAATTCCATCGTCAGTTTTCTCATCCCACACAAAGACAGGCTCGCTCACAAAGTGACATTTAGAAAAAGCTTTTTTTGTTTTATATTTATAAAAATCAAATAACAATAAGGGAAGGGAAGAGTCTGAAATATACTTTAAATTCATGCACTAATAAAGGACTTAGCATTCCCTTTTCATGCACACTCACACCCTTTGTGTGGTCTTTGTGGCTCAAAGCGAACCAATTAATTCTTAATGCCACACGCTTATCTGTGAGGATTAAAACTTAAATCCTTCTTGAAAGCTGGGACAAAGTTTTAAAGTTTGTTAGCCAATGGCTGCCTGCATCCATGCTTCTAAACACACTAATTCACCCAAATCTTTCTTACACTGCTTGTTTGAACATTTTAATCACGTCACACGTAAGCAGCTATGATTAAGTCAACAGCCGTTTTTCCTTGAATCTGATCAGGAAACTGGTTGAAACAGTCGCAGTGCCGGAAATACTCCAAAACCTGAGCATCTGCTGAGTGTGTGGGATCCAGATTTATTATTAGAAAGGTTTTTTGGGACTCTAGTGTGGGGTGCAGCATAATGGCTGAGTGTTGCGTAAGTTTGGCAACAATAATGCTGGAGATTTATCTGCACGTTTGCGTGTGTTCGGCTGCAGGTTTTTTTGGGCGTGTAGGTTGTCACTCGATGGAGATCACTCAGATGCCATCTGTCCAGGAAGTGGAACAGTGTTGGTGTGAGGACACGGCCCTCCTACAAAGGAGCAGCGAAGACAAAAACAAGTGAAAAGACAGAAAGACTCATGTTTGCGTGCATGAATGGCCTCTGGTGCAGCTATCCCTTCACTCTGAGTACTATGCTCTATTTATAATTCAGAAGCTTGTTTCCTGTAACTGACACGGCCTTGTTTCCTTACAATCAATACAGTGGATCTGTTTCCTCCTGTCCTCTCCTCAGTAGCACCTCCTAATCTGCCTCTAGACTGGATCCTATCTGACAAATACAGATAAACAGAACGAAAACAAGATATAAATGTCAATAGAAACATGATTCACTCATCAGATTAAACCAAACCATTGAATAACCTCACATTGGGCTGCCACGATTAGTCGATTAATTGACGACAAATCGATTATTAAAATAATCGATGACTAATTTAATAATTGATTAATTGTTTTCTTTTTTTTGTTCTTTACTTTGTTTTTCTCTCCAAACTGCTTTGACACCTTCCACTGCCACATCTGCCTTTCTGTTCTTGACACACATGCACAGTAGTGGTAACTGGGGTAGACCGTGGACGTCACAAGACATTATACAGACAGGCTCTGGTATCATGGCTACCTGACAACAGAGCTCAAAGTGTGGGATCATTTTAAGAAAATGAAAGAGAAACCTGTGTAATATCTGCAGAGCAGAACTTGCCTTCCACACCAATTATTTTTAATTAGCATATAGCTAAAATCTAACGATGGTTATATAATAGCAGCTGCATTCTGGCACGATAAGCTGTATGTTTTATATTCAATTAACATATGATCCGATTAGTCGACTAATCGAAAAAATAATCGATGATTAATCGATTATAAAAATAATCGTTTGTGACAGCCCTAACCTCACATCTAAAAACTCAGGCATTATTTCAAGTTTTCATTTTCAAAACATTTCCTTTTTAGCAAATAAAGCTCCTAAATCTGCATTTTGATGCCATATTTCCTCCGTTTTCCCTCCTATTTTAGGATGCAGCGCTGGGGGTTGAACACCTACCTGTACGGTCCAAAAGATGACCTGAAACACAGACTGCTGTGGAGAGAAGTCTATTCTCCGGAGGAGGAGGGTAAATAAATCAGTAGTGATAGCTGCAGGATCATTGTGGTTAATGCCGAAGGTAACACAAAGGGATCACGTGTGGCATGTCTGAACTGCGTGCCAACATTCTCTAAGTTTGTCAGCAAATAGTTGCAGATGTTACGTCATCAACTGTCTGCAAGCTTTACAGTTTAAACCCACAGACTGGTAGTGTTTCCCTTACTATTGTACGAGGAGGGCGGCCTGCCCCCCTAAATAAATCAGCCGCCTCCCTAAAAACTTCTCCACTTCTCCATTCATAAAGTTGAGGGGTTGTATTTTTTTTCTAATGTATTACCACAATAAGTTTCAAGTTGCATATAACTGAAACATTTTGTTAAACCCTCTCTCCCGCTGTACGTCGTGCAAAGTGAAGCATATAAACAATTGTAGTTGTATTTTTCACACTGGAGTGGGAAAAAAATCTTTTTTTTTTGTTAATTGTGGAAAAGAAGATGTGGACTTTTGCTTTCTCATAAGTCCAGCTTGCTAATTTAACATTCAGCTCCAGCTCTGGGACTGCAGCAGATCATTTTCAGCAGAAAAATGAAGCTCACATGTATGGCAGGCTGTTTTTACTTTTAACTGACTTCACCACGCTTGCATTCCAGATATCTGAAATTGGTTTATGTCCAGACATATTAGTTATTTATTAGTGAATCATTATTATATCTTCTTTACGTTGTTAGTTAAAATTTGTTAGGGCTCACCAGACAAAAAAATTTAAAAAAATGACATCCTCTTTAAAGATAGAACCCATCCAGAGGACCTACTCATTTTTTCTTTTTGACATCCTCTTTACTTCTTTATAAAACATTTATTTTACCATTTTGGCAAGTATCTCATTTCAACTCAATCGTTTCCATTTTCTTTCTTCTGCTCAGCTCAGTTGCGGACTCTCATAGCAGAGGCCCAGTCCAAAGGCCTGAGGTTTGTTTACGCCCTGTCTCCTGGTCAGGACATCGTCTTTTCATCTTCTTGTGACTTGACGCTGCTTAAACGCAAGTTGAAACAGGTAATTACGCTACGCTTGGGGAAAATGTACCTCTTTTTTCCACCTCTTATATAAAACTCCTCTCTCTCTGTCAGGTCTCAGACCTGGGTTGTCAAGCATTTGCCATTCTCTTTGATGACATCGACCACTCCATGTGTCAGGCTGACAGCGAGGCCTTCACCTCATTCGCCCACGCTCAGGTCACAGTAACCAATGAGATTTATCGGTTCTTGGGGGAACCAGATGTCTTCCTTTTCTGCCCTACAGGTAGAACAGAAGTTGAGATGTAGCAAACTGTGATCAGGGGGTTTTATAGCTTAAAACGCTCCGTTTTGCTCTTCTCTCTAGAATACTGCGGTTCTTTGTGCTCCCCCAGTGTGTCCAAGTCTCCCTACCTGCAAACCATCGGAGAGGACCTCCTGCCTAATATCACAGTAATATGGACAGGTAATCCAACACCACCGTATTTCTTCAGCACAGGTAGAAACACCTGGTTTTCTTCTTCTAGATTTGATATGTAATTTCTTGCCCAATAAAAGCCTTCATCATCATGCACACATGCAAATAAGCGTGTGCACAAACCCACACAGCCACCAGGCAGTAATTTAGGTGCACCTCCGCCCACATGCAGATGGAAGTTTAACAGAAACACACACACACACAGACCGCCCACTCACTCTGTTTGTTTCTTCAATTTTATCACTTCTCTCTAGATTCTTACATCAAAAGCTCCATGGGAGACGTTTTACAGCTCACTTGTGAAATAAAACATTTTAATGGGTTTTATATTATTGTGTTAGTTGTTAGTTATATTGTAAATGTTCATCAAACCACCTGATTTACATTGCTTTCTTACGCTGCAATCTCACGGATCCTGCAGATAAAAGGAATCTGTGTGTGCATTCAAGCCTACACACAACAGCATTTCTGGAGAAAATATGCAGGAGTGTCATCTCGTGAAAAAGCAAATATTTTCTGATTCCTGTTTTTCCTGCTTACAAGCGGAAATCCTTTTATTAATGCTTAATTTAAGCGCAACTCTCTTACATTATGAGCACTGTATGGTTACATTCCAAAGACTGGTTGAAGTGAAAATTGGTCTTTTCAAATTAAAGGTAATACAAATATACAGTGGTTTTTTGGGTCACAGTTCTTCGCTTAGTTAAATAATCGTTTTTAATGTAAAAATCAAAGGAATTCAGCAGTTTGGCATCACGTAATTGTGACAGTTTTCAGTTAAAACTGGGTGAGAGTTTTGTGTGGCAAATAGGAGGACATTTGTACATCAAAATGTTTGTCTTTTTTTTGTAAATTAAAATATTTTCCTTTATCAAACGCCCATATTAAAAAGGTTTGTTTTTGTCTAAAGGTACCTGTTGTTTTTCGTACTGCTGCTGTCTCTCTAAGTGGTTGAAAATGTTTGTCAGGTTTCCATCGGACGTACAAACTCTGAAAAAAAAAACAGTTAGAGTGTCAAACCAGTTTCTTACAACAAAGGTAAAGTTTATTTTAGGGATCAACTCCCCACCCCCATTTTTTTGCCACTGCTGATAATCTACAACACTGGTTGTACTTCACTACGACTGGTTGATCGGATATTAAGACTACATAAGCGTGATAACTGACATCACAAATAATAGAATTACAGCAGGTAGAATGTTCCCCGAAGAGGATTTTATAATTTATTTTGTTTTAGCAGATGATAACACTTTCTAATTAGAAATGCACCTATATGAAAATTTCTGCTGATTTTGATATTAGATATTAATTTTGCTGTTATGGCCATTAACCAAAATTTACCAATAGTACACACACACACACACACACACAAACACATGTCTTTTTTTGATACTGTAAAAGACAGCTGACATGACTCTACTTCAGTTATTCCTAGCTGCACAGCATCACTATCACCATCATGATCAAACAGATACCACTCCACCAAACATTTCCCCAACAAAACAGAAACACAAACTGGAACAAGCGGGAAATCAGTATCCAACATTAATATCGGCCCAGTTTTACTTATCGGATTGATATGCTAAAAAATGACCAACACTGGTCGATACCGATGTTAATGCTGATATATTGTGCATCCCTAATTCTAATATTTGTTGATTTGAATTGGCTGCTGAAGAAATATATTTCATGTCAGTAAGTAAATTTTATAACAATGCATTTTTTTTTTACTTAAAATAGTCAGCATGTCCTGACAGCAGAATATGAGACAGATAATCTGTGGCTCCTCCCAGTGGTCCTACAGCTATTTGCAGAAATACATCACTCCTGGTCAGAAACAACCAGTGAAAGCAAGGAGGACTGTCTTCCCCGTGTGTAATGTCTGTTTGCTGTAATCTGTGGCCCTGATGCCTATTAGCCTGCGCGTTAACGGCAAGCTCAACTGTGGAGGCAGGGCTGTAGAGCAGCAGAGACCAAGGAGGAGGGGCCTGTAAGGTGTGTTTGTTCAAATAATCAGACTAAGTCCACAGTTTTCTCAGATCTCCATACTGCAGCTTCAACCGAACAGTGCACAGATCCTGAACTGAGACAGGTGAACTGAAAGTGTCAGATCTGTTCCATCCTTTTAAAAAATTTTGCGAAAGTTCTCTGGACGTGTTTTTCCTTGTTGACAAAAACGTTTCGCCTCTCTTCAGTCTGAAGAAATCTTTTAGAGAAGGAACAGAAGAACTTGTCCAGAGGACTTACTCAACTTTTTAAGATTTTTCTACCTGGTTTATTGATTGAGATGCATCAGGACCGTTTCATCTTTTTTTTTCAAAAAGTCCTCTTATTTCTCAAAAAAGAATCTTTTCTTCTTTTTTTTTTCGCTCTTTCCAAACAGGCAACAAAGTCATTTCCAGGAAGCTGTCTTTAGACTGCCTCGCCGAGGTGGAAACTGTCCTCCAGCGGTCCCCGCTAATCTGGGACAACTTGCACGCCAACGATTATGATTCCAGACGCCTATTCCTGGGGCCTTTCAAGGGTCGAGACCCTCAGATTAGGAGCCACTTAAGGGGCCTGCTGCTCAACCCCAACTGCGAGTTTGAAGCCAATTACATTCCACTGCACACGCTGGGAAGCTGGTACCGAACAGGAAATGAGGATCTGAAAGGTGAGCGAATGGAAGGAGGAACAAACACAGGAAAAGTCCCCAGTTAATAAACTAATATTAGCTCCACCAGACCACATCAAGACACAATTACCTCCTTTGCTTCTTGGAGAAATGTTTAATAAGCCAGTGCTGCTTAGCAACTAGCGCTATTTTGACCACCAGGCAGAAATGCAGTCTTTAATCAAAGCTCCAGCTTTTGTCCTAAAAAAAAGTTATGAAGTACTTTGATCTTTTCTAAATACTGAATTGAGGAATTTTATTAGCATTAAGATACTTTGTTATAGAAAAGTTCAAAACCCTCCCATCAGTTTCTTTCAAATAAAATGTAAATTTATATACAAGTATTAAAAAAATTAACCTCTATAGTAGAAACAGCCTTGCATTTGCTCACTTTGATTTCCATTAAGATATCAAAATGTAGCTTTAAAAATCAGCAATATGAATATGTGCTTACTTCAATTGGACCAAAGGCAATTTAATCTCTAATTTATGGTGATGGCTCACATTTATCCTGAAAGCTGACATCTGAGTCTGATTGTGCAAACCCTCTCATTTTAAGGATTAAGACCGGAGTGTTCTTTATAGAAGTCATACAGACATGTTTATGTTTCAGATGAAGAGTGTGAGTATTGTCCTGATGGAGCTCTGACTGCTGCGCTCCGAGACTGGATGGAAGAACTCAACCAGCCTCTACAAGCAGGTAAAACATATTTAAAATATATATATAATGATGGGTTTTAGTGTGAAAGCTACCAGACTAAAGCATGTGTTAAACGGTTGTTGTAGGTCGTCAGAGCTCAAGAGCCGACCAGCGTGTCTCTGTATCGTCGCACTCCAAAACTCCTGACAGGTCGGGCAGTCGTTCCACCTTCAGGGCCTCCTCCGCTGTGGCCAAACTCCCAGTCTTCCCCCTGGACTCCAGCTCCCCTCCGTCCTCCCCGCCTATGGGTAAAAGGGAGACGGATGGTGAAAAAGAGAGGACACACCAGCCCGCTCAGCAGCCTCCTGGATCCAGGCCTGGGGCGCCCGCGGGTGGAGGCCGGGTCCAGAAGGCCCAGGGTCGGGGGCTCTGCGGCGGGAAGGGCCTGCTGACCGAGGCTCAGGTTCGGCTGCTGGTTGGTCTTCATTATCTCCCCCACGAGCACGGCTCCTCGGCCCAGAAGCTGCTGCAGGATCTGACCTGGCTGAAAACAAACTGCCACCTGGTCAGCACCAGCGGGAAGAAGTCGCCACCTCAGAAGGTCAGTGAAACTTCATGCGGTTGAAATGTGAAACAAAAAATAAAACCCTGATACCGATGCGTACTTAACGTCCTCAGGTTGATGAGTGGCGTGGACGGGCCTCCAGGTTCCTGTCTCTGTGTGAAGAAATAGCGCAGCTCCACTGCAGTGTGGTGGGCGGGGCCAACAGGGCTGTGCTCTATGACCTTTACCCTTATGTATGGGACCTGAGAAACACGGCTCTGGTGACCAAAGCCTTCATATCCTGGCTGGGTAAGAAAGGGCAGAAATGCAGATTGTTGTCTTTAAAAAGAATCATGTTTTTTTTTACACAATATCTCATGAACCACTCGATGAACTTTTACTGACAGAAATGAATAGAGACAACCCAGTTCAAGATGGCTGCCACAGTATCTCATAGTACTTCACAGTAATACTTACTTTACTGTAAAGTTTTATGAATCAGTGCAGAGTTGTTTTCATTTTGTCTCCTTTAGACGGACGGGTGCTGAGTGACAGCTCAAGCCTCGGCTCCTGGAGGAACTGCTTCCACTGTGAGTAGGAAGAAACGTTTCTCTCTTATCGGAGCATCAAACACTGAGTCATCACTTTTCAACACTTCCTCAGTGCAGATGTGGATTAAGCGTTATAAAAACCCCAAAAAGCTCATTTCAGCCGACATAGCAAAGAGTTGTAAAACTGTAATCCTGACATTTTTTACTGGCATGAAATCTATTTTTCATGTGACTGAAGGGATGATTTGCTTTTGTCTTTGGTAGGGTGTGGAAAGACCACAGGAGGGGACGTGTTGGGGGTGGACTCAGAGCCGTGGGTGTTCAAAGGGGGCGTGTCCGGAGAAGTGCAGGTACCCTTTCTGCTTGCTGTTATTCTGAGTTTCTTACTTATTCATTACTTATCTTTGTCAAAAACCAAGCCTAATGTTTGTGTTTGTGAACGTGTTGCACAGATGCTCCTCCCAGTAGGCAGCAGCAGCGAGCTCTTCACTCATCCCCCTCCTCTCTTCCCTACCTCTCGCCTTTACAACATCAGACCCTATCACAACAAAGACAAGGTAGGTTAAGTCTCATTCATAGTAATTTATAAAACAGTGTTTACATAAACGGCTGTCAGATTCATGTAATCAGAATTGATGCCAGTAATCAGAGCTTTTTGATTGCGAAGTCATCTGCGAAATTTCTAAGTTTTTACCAACCTGTAAAAAAAAACATGGTACTAATCTTTATGATGATGTTTTTGTAGGTGGAGCTGTATCGGATGGTCCGCCAGCTTCACCTGAGAACTCAGGGTGACCAGGAGTCCAGCATGGCTCATCCAGACATTGTTGGAGACAGGTTTGTCTTTAACCCCTTAACCCTCAATGTAACGCACACGCTAAATTCCCATTTTGTGCTTACTTACTGCCTATTTATAGCCTGACCCACGCTACCAGGGATTTTGACCAATGCTAACACCAGCTTATCCATGCTAGTCAGTAGCCGCTCCAATGCTAACGCCAGCTTATCCATGCTAGTCAGTAGCCTCTCCAATGCTAACACCAGCTTATCCATGCTAGTCAGTAGCCTCTCCAATGCTAACGCCAGCTTATCCATGCTAGTCCCTAGCCTCTCTGATGCTAACGCCAGCTTATCCATGCTAATCGCTAGCCTCTCTGATGCTAACGCCAGCTTATCATGCTAATCGCTAGCCTCTCTGTTGCTAACGCCAGCTTATCCATGCTAGTCAGTAGCTTCATCAATGCTAATGCCAGCTTATCCATGCTAATCGCTAGCCTCTCTGATGCTAACGCCAGCTCATCATGCTAATCGCTAGCCTCTCTGATGCTAACGCCAGCTTATCCATGCTAGTCAGTAGCTTCACCAATGCTAACGCCAGCTTATCCATGCTAGTCGCTAGCCTGTCTGATGCTAACGCAAATAAAGAGTCTCCTCCTGATTTGCTAGTGCAGGCCCCTCAGTTATCGGTGCCAGTCTATCATTAATCAGATCAATAGTTATAGCCTCCTGTTACAAAGATATAGCAACTGCTGGTTGTACAATAGTCCTAATTTTGGCCCTCACACTGCACCATACATTCTGACACCACATTTACTAGTTAGTTACAAAAATTATGACTGCTGAAGTTAAACATTCATATTGATAGCTAAGACTAGACTTGTGAATTTACTCCAAAGTGTTTAAAAGTAGTACGTTGTTTAATTTGGGTTAGAGTTAGGGTTAGCAGGTTAAAGTCTAAATGAAAGTCCCTCTTATCCAACTAATTTACGAATCTTTCTGTGCTGACGCCTTCTTTCACCCTCCAGATGTCTCGGCCCGTGTCTGGCGCTGAGCCCCGAGTACAGCTTCATCCTGGAAGACGAGCTGGGCGTGTGCGGCTGCGTCCTGGGCATCCTGGAGGTCCGCTCCTTCGCCAAGCGCTGCCAGGCCAGCTGGATACCTGCCATGAGAGACAAATACCCACCCAAGGGGAACAACGCACACGCCAACACGCAGGTGAACACAAGGGCGCGACGACGCAAAAAAATGAGCTCATGGACCGCTTGTGTCTGAGCCACGACTGCTGAGTCGTTTTAAAGGGCGCGGCATGTTCGGAGCCGAGCGAGACGTCAGGCGAAGTCATGCACACAAATGTTTGCACATATCTGCAGCTGCTGTCACGCCGTCTGGGCTCTGCATTTCAAAGAATAATTACCAACAGGACAGATGGTGGCAAACACAAGAAAGCAAAACAAATGGCACAAACACACACAGAAACACACACACACATGAGCAGTACTTTATAGTCATGTTAGCTGGTGCAGAATTCGAACATAAGCAGTACGTTCTGTGCACTCTGTGCAACAGTGAGCACATTTCTAAGTGTCACTGTGGTAAAACACCTTACACTTCATGAGTTTAGTGAAGAAAGTGAGCTGATACTGGAACACACAACAGTGTTTCAGCTCTGATCAGGCAAACAAATCAAACAGAACTGGTGGGAAGCAACAGACGCAGTCAGACCCAGACATCTGTGGATGATTGATCTTCCTGCTCGATGAGTCATGGTGCGTGCTGACAATCATGATTTAGATGACTGCCAATCTTATCGCAACTGTGTGTGTGTGGAGGGGGCAGGTTTTCCTGCTTAAAGATTTTTCTTTTGAGTGACAATGGTTGTTTAAATGGTATGGTTTAAAGGGGACACATGTTTAATCCACAATTTTTCTGTTAAATTTTGTTTATTTATTTAACCTTTATTTAACCAGGTAGATCTCATTGAGATTAAAAATCTCTTTTTCAAGACAGATCTGGCCAAGAAAGGCAGCAGCACACAGACATTACAAAAATTCAAAACTACAGATATTAAACTACCGTATTTATTCAAGTAAAATACGTAAAATTAAATCCATAAAATCATCCATAAAGTTGGTGGGGTAGTACTATACTCGGATAAATATTTTTACTTATGTATTTTAACTGAAATATCGGCTTCATTCACTAAATGCATAAGTCCTGAAATGAGACCACGTCGTAAAAAGCAGTTGAAGAGAGCTTACCTGTGACACTCCTCTGTGCATCAGAGCGAGATAATAACAGATCCAGGCAGGTGACATGATGTGAAAAAGGGGAAAAAAGTATTCCTTCACCTTAGTAATGATAACGAACTAATGGCATTAGCGTGTGACCGAGCCGCTCTTCGAAAAACAACAAACACATGTTCTTCTGTAATGGCTGCCGTCTACCGGTGTTCTGAAAAAGTTTGTATCCCTGAAAAAACGTTTCCCCACCAGAGGGGGCGCTTGCGAGTAGGAAGTAATCTGCTTTTGCCCACAAGATTGTCCAAATCTCATGTGAAGTCTCTGACTTTGGTGTTGGYGCATCCTGGTGGACTATGTGCAAAATGCCAGAATTAATATGATGCTGCTACAAAGCTCAAAGTTTGCTGATATATATTAGCCTGGCCCTTGCCTTCCTATGCAGCTCCGCTCAATTCTAGTTTCCCTTCACTGCTCCGTCTGGGACTTCTCCCATTGAGATGGATTTCGCTGGCAGATTTTTAGCCGGGCCAATCAGAGAACAGGAGGAGCTTTGAATGACGTCGACTTTCTGTGCAGTGTCTGCTTGTTATTTTAGCATACGGCAGTGGAGGAAGAGAATGGCTGTGTCCAAAACGACAGGCCGAGTCCTCCGGATGACCCAGACTCCCCGGTCTCGGC